AACACCAGAAATAGTTGAGTGCCTGTAACAACAGGATGACTCCCATCCCCAAAACAATCTTTAGCTCAGTGAACTATGCAAAATAATGACTGGGTTTTGTTTTGAAGTCCTAATATTTAAAGCCAAACATATTTTCTATATTTTCTCTCCAATGTCATCTTTCCAAAAACACCAAACGGCCTCCTCCTGAAGTGTTCTTTTTCTATTGCAACATATGGTGCCCCATCCAGAGAGTCACAAGATATTTTGTTTCTAATTGATTAAATTCATGAGTCACATGCAGGATTTGCACCTAGGTTGAAAATCAACTGGTTGTTTTTCAGGGCTTCCACACAGTAACACAGGTGGGACAGTTGCCTCTGCAACCGTAGCTACCAAAAACCTCCTCAGAGGTTTTTGCATAAAATTTGAAACTTAAATTCAAAATCACCAAGTCTTGCAATTTTATTTCATTAACAGGAGGATTTTGTGGTTTTGGTGTTTTTTTGTTTCTTTGTTTGTTTGTTTTTGTTTTTGTTTTTTTCCCCCTAAACTTTCTGTTGCAATTAGGGCACCAAGAGAAAATGTAATGGATCCAGTGTTATGGTTTGGGAATTCCAATGTTGCAAATATTACAATATAAATAAACAGAACCCAAGTCCACCGCCCTTAGAATCTCAATAGAATTAGTCAAATCAGGTGTTTCTGAAGGAAAAGTGATTATTTAACACTCAACTTCTTACTGCTTGGAGTGGCTAGAACTTGTTACTCCAGCACCAAAATAATTCCCAGGTTAAAAGGACTCTTCAATCACCACGAATTTTGGATCAGACAGCACATTCAATTAGGGAAAAAAATTAAACATTTCTGCCTCCACCATCTGCTCGAATAATTTGTAAAATGTGAAAATGGCTTTGCGTGGACATAAAAGCCTACATGCCTAAGTATTCCTGATTTTCCCTGAAAGTAGAACTCCCACAGTTTAAGATACTGTAGCTGCTGTATTTATGGGACCATTTCACATGCCAAAGCTATTACTGAAAGTATGTGAGGTACCAGCAGCGTTTCTGAACATCATAGAAAGGTATAAAGTCTGGGGTCCAGATTTAGGTATTAGGTCCTATTTCATTGTTGGTAAATTAATTAGGACTGCAGAAATTATTAACTTGAACTCTTTTGATCTTATTGCACACTACTGTGTTTTGCCTGAATAAAATAGCTGAGCAGAAACCCCAGGAGGGAAAATTTCTCTTTGAGAATGGAATCAATGTCAAAAAATTACTTTGTTTGTATTTATTATGAGGAATTCAGCACCCTGCTAAAAAAAATCCCTGCCTCTTTCTATTACAAAGGTTGTTTCTTATACCCTCACGTTATTTTACTGCAATGCAAAGGTACTTTTTTATTTTTCAGTTAACTAGAAAGCTGAGCAGTTGACTAATCCATTATCTTTACTCACCATGCTGGCTGCTCGAAGTATCTCCTGCTCTATATTGGGTGTCAGACCCAGATTCTAGCTCTATCTCCCTTAGGGAATGGTAAATCAGCCAGTGCAAATCCAGAATTGCTAATGACAGAAACAGGAGATTTCAGTTCCCAGCTTCCAGATGCAACATATGTCAAAAGATAGCTTATACACTCAGAGTGAGGGAGAGAAAACAGTTTTGACATTTTTGTTTGTTTGTGCTGATGGGTTTTAAACCTTAATTAAGTCCAAATAGAAGGAAAAATTTCACCATGACATTCATTAGGTACTCAGTATATTAAATTTACAGCTGGGTATCTGTTGCATTCTGTTTGTCAATTCTGTTTGATTTGATGATATGTTCCTGTTAGCCCCCTGTTACTGTCAGGTAATGGTCTTGCCCCAGTTGTCAATTTAGTAAAACCCCTCCCATTGTTCCTGAACCTTCCCTGCCTATCACCCTCAGCCTGCCCCTAGCCCTTGTCCGTCATTGTTAATCCTGCCCTTTGTTCCAGCATTTTCCATGCCCTTCATCCCCTACTCAAGGCCCCATTGGCGTTGTGGCCACTGTCCCATCCATGGTTACCTCCCATTGGTCCCAAGTATTGTAAACCCCTCCTTTGTCTCCTCCCAGGTTATGTTCTGATTGGTTTTTGGTTTGTACCCTCCCCTCTTTAAATTTGGAAGCACGGAGATGTTCAGTGCTCAGTTGCTCTCCTTTCTCACTATCCCAGCCCTTTCCCTGTCATTGCTCCCTTTATCCTTCAATAAAGCCTGTTCCTGGGAAGACAAAGAGACTCTGAGCCTCCTCCATCCCTTTACTGAAACCCACAATGCCTGGGATCTACAGAGCCCGAGCACAGGGAGCTCTGGAGGTTCAGCACGTGGACTGTCGTTCCCGTGTCGTTCCCCACTCTTGGCACTGCCATTAGCCAAGTTGTTCGGAGCTAGCCCGAAGCTTGGGAAAGCGTAGAGCGCAGCGTCAGCTGGCGCCCAACGTGGGGCCTCTTTCCTGTGGATTGAAAACCCCCAGAGGAGTCTATCAGATTGTGGATTATCAAAGACTTTTGGGCGGCAGCTACCCCGGTGGGAAGCAGACCCATTTTTGTTGGGTGGCGCTCCCGGGGATCGAGGCAGCAACCCTCAGCGTGCGGAGGATCGCCTCGGGGTCGCAGACACCTCCTGCAGCTGTCGTCTGGACCTGCTGAGTTCCCCAGAGAGGGGGAAAAAAGTGTGGGCTTCCCCGTGGGGAGGGGAAGGCGGTGCAGGTCCGGACCCTTATTTTCTGTTCTTTTCTGTTGTCCTTTGCTGTTGGGAGGTGGTGGGACTGTTGAGCCGGGGGTGTAGAGATGGGTGCACGCATGTCGGCTCAGCAGAGGGGGATTTTTCACCAAGTTGTGGGTATCCTTGAGGGTGGGAGTAAAAAGTTTTCCCAAGGGTGGGTAAAAAGACTGGTGCATTGGCTGTTTCTGCATTACCCCCAAGGGTCCCCTGAAAATATACGTTCCATTTTGTTTTGGAATTCAGTTGGAACCAAATTAACACTATTGGTTAATCAGGGGGATAAGACAGCTGCGAAATTAATTCCGCTTTTTGTTCTGATTCGTTCGGCTCTAATTGAAAAAGGGGTAGTGCAGGGACAGCCAGCACAGTCTTCCCCAGTTTCCCCAGTTTCCCAGTCCCCGTGTGCCTCAATCCCTGATCCTAAGTTGGGGGAGACCTGCGGAGCTGCCTGTGCTGCACAGGGCTCCAACAGTGGCAACAGTCTCCCTGGCTCCCCACGTCTCCCTCAGAACCCTTGCCCTGGCAGCCCTGGCCAAGCTGCCAGAGCCCTTATCCATCCCCCTGCTTCCCCGGTTGCCAGTCCCAAGTTAAGTGCTTCCCAGGTTGTTGATCCCCAGTTAAATAAAGTTGTAAACCCTCAATTTTTACCCCAGAACCCGTATCCCCCAGTATCCCCTTGTTCCCATTGCTCCCGTATGTTCCCTTATTCCTTCCCCGAACCTCAAAATGGCCCCCAGAGGGCACAAGATGGCGGGGACCGCATGGTCGGCCCCCCCCCTTGTGCTTCTTCTTCCCACAATCCCTTTCTTCCCCCCGTGACCAACCCCTTCCTCCCTAGCTCCTCCCTTTCCTCCTACCCTGACCCCTCCCACTTCCCCTCGAGCGATTCCTCCTCCTCTGGGGCGTGTCTAATCAACTCCACGCCCCCAAACCCCGCCTCTTCCTGCCGTTGCTCCTCCCTCACGCCCTCCTCCTCGGGTAGTCCTCCAGCCCCGCCCCTTCCGGCTCCTGGTTCTCACGCCCCTCCTTCTGGTTCCCACGCCCCTCCTTCCGGTTCCCATGCCCCTCCTTCCGGTTCCCACGCCCCTCCTTCCAGTTCCCACGCTTTGAAAACCAGAAGTGACAGGCCTGTGAGCCAGAACTCGGAACAGGTAGAAATTCCCTTTGCTGCACCGGTCAGTTTTCGTGGAAGGGGGGGGAGGTACCGAGAATGGGAAGCCTTCTCCTTCCAGACTAAGAGGGAGCTGTGCAAAGCGCAGAAGGAATTTGGGAGAAGAAGTGAATATTTTAAGGGTTTACTAAAAGCTACCTTCTCCACAAATGAAATGGTCCCTCATGATCTAAAAGAATTATTTTCCTGCCTCCTTTCCCCAGCTGAATTCAAGCTGTGGAAACAGGGGTGGAAGAGGTCATTAGAGGCCATCCTTCCAGAGCTGTTGCACAGCGAAGAAGCCGCGGTTGACGCGGATGAAAACCCTCTTACCCTAGATCACCTGTGCGGCGAAGGGAATTGGGCAAAGCCAGAAGAACAGGCCAGGGTTTTACCCCGGCCTGTACTGATCAAAATTGCGGAAGCCGCAGAAAAAACGTTTAACACCCTACCCGAGGAGGAACCCCAGATTAACTTTTTAAACATCAAACAGCTCCCTAACGAATCCTTTACCAAGTTTGTGGATAGGCTGCAAACGCAGGTAGAAAAACAGGTGGAGAGAGCGGAGCTGCAAGAACAGTTTGTGTTAGAAGCAGCCAAGGCCAACGCAAATGAAGCCTGCAAGCAGGTGATCTTCAGCCTGCCTCTCTACCCGCCTCCTACGCTGGACATCCTCATCGAAGCCTGCACTAAAAAGGTTCCGATGGTAGGGGTGTCCAAGGCCATACCACCGCTAGCACCGAGGAGGATGCCTACTGCAGCCGTGACCCAGCAACCAACGGGCCAGTTTCCACCACCACCTGCACGGCCATTACAGTGTTACCGCTGCGGGCAGCTGGGTCACATGGCAAGAGACTGTCCAGCTGCCCACCCTTGCCAAGGACATTTAGGGAACAATTTGGGAGGAAGGGCTAAAGAGGGGGTAATAAAGAAAAAAAACTAGGAGCGCGGCACGAACCTGCCCCGCGCGAAGCAAGAAATGGGGCAGGTCTCGCGGTGGGGGGGGGATCACAAAATCGGACAGGGCCTATATACCGGACGCGACACTTGGTTACTGCTCGTGACATCTTCTTTCGGTCCCAGCACTGGACAGTAGTTGCTGTGGACCCACTGGAGGGGACAATGATGGATTCAGGACACGTCAGTAAGTACATTGCCATCGGGGACACCAAGCACACACCCCCAGAGATTGAGATTTCTCCGATCACCTTCCCAGGTGGTCCGGAGAACCTCATTCTCCTAGCGCGCTGCACTCACCCACCATACTTTCTCCCTAAAGGCCAGATCATCGCCCAGTTTATCCCCATTCCCGAGGGTATCCCAGTAGACGACCATGCACCAGGTGTCTACTGGGCAGAAGTAGTGGGTGAGGATAAACCCATCATAGACTGCAGCGTCAAGCAGGGTGCCGAATCCTTACAAATGAAGGGCCTGCTTGACACAGGAGCGGATGTGACGGTCATTCCTGAAAGGAGGTGGCCGTCACATTGGGAGTTGCAACCCGTGGCAGGAAAGATACAGGGTATAGGGGGCATCCAATTGGCTCGAATTTCAAAGAGTGTGGTACAAATTGCGGGGCCGGATGGGCAATTGGCTAATTTATGCCCATTCGTTGCGGATTATCAGGTTCCCTTGTGGGGGAGGGATCTCATGTCTCAATGGGGGGTGAAGATTGAAATCCCGAAAACCCCTCGGGATTTTTAGAAGCGGCCACTGTAGAGCGCCCCTTCCAGAAGTTAGATTGGACCACTAACGAAGCGGTCTGGATTGATCAGTGGCCGCTCAGGAAAGATAAATTAAAGGCGCTCAACGAACTCGTGGAGGAGCAGTTAGCGAAGGGCAATATAGTCGAGACCACCAGCCCTTGGAACTCCCCGGTATTTGTAATCCGTAAGCCGGGGAAGGACAAGTGGCGGCTCCTTCACGACCTTCGAGAAATCAACAAGATCATTGTGGACATGGGACCCCTTCAGCCGGGGATGCCTACCCCAACCATGCTCCCTCGAGATTGGCAATTGGCAGTAGTTGATATAAAGGATTGCTTTTTCCAAATTCCCCTACATCCTGACGATGCCCCACGGTTTGCCTTCTCGGTGCCCACTCTTAACCGAGAAGCCCCAGTGAGGAGATTCCACTGGCGAGTGTTGCCGCAAGGCATGAAAAATTCACCCACCATTTGCCAGTGGTACGTCTCCTCATTGCTGTCTCCTGTACGCGCTAAAATGGGGGAGGTCATCATCCATCACTACATGGATGATGTCCTAGTGTGCGCCCCCCATGACAATCTACTCACACGAGCGCTTGACCTGGTGGTTGAAGTTCTGACCTCCGCGGGATTTCAACTCCAGGAAGATAAAGTTCAAAGGATGCCACCCTGGAGGTACCTGGGTCTACAGATCGCTGAGAGGACCATTGTTCCTCAAAAATTGGCCATAAACAGCGATCCTAAAACTCTGGCAGACCTCCATTCCCTGTGTGGGACATTGAACTGGGTCAGGCCTTGGCTGGGCCTCACGACTGAGGACCTAGCCCCCCTCTTCGTCCTATTGAAGGGGGAGAAGGAGCTGAGTTCTCCTAGGTCCCTGACCCCAGAGGCGAAGAAAGCCCTCGAGAGAGTGCAGGAAGCTCTGATGGAGAGGCAGGCACACAGGTACGAGCCAGCCCTGCCATTTGAGTTTATTGTATTGGGGAAGTTACCACACCTGTGTGGGCTGATATTCCAGTGGGACCGGGGCTCCAAGGACCCTCTCTTGATCATAGAATGGGTTTTCTTGAGCCACCAGAGGTCCAAAAGTATCACCAGGCCACAGGAGCTGATGGCTCAGCTCATCAGGAAAGCTCGAGCAAGGCTTCGGGAGATGGCTGGGTGCGATTTTTCATGTATACGGGTACCAGTCAGCTTGTCTCGGGACAAAGCGTCCCCAGATAAGCTGACTAAAGAAATGTTTAATCAATTATTGCAGGAGAATGAGACTCTCCAGATTGCCTTAGATAGTTACAGTGGACAAGTTTCAGTCCACGCCCCTGCACACAAATTTTTCAATGCAAAATTTAATTTGATTCCGAGAGAAATTAGGAGCCGAAAACCCCTCAAAGCTGTGACTGTTTTTACAGACGCATCTGGAGCATCCCACAAGTCAGTGATGACTTGGAGGGATCCTCAGACTCAGCAGTGGGAAACGGATATTAAGTATGTGGAGGGATCTCCACAGGTTGCTGAGTTAGATGCTGTCGTCAGAGCCTTTGAGAGGTTTTCTGACCCATTCAATTTGGTAACTGATTCGGCATATGTTGCAGGGGTTGTAGTGAGAGCTGAGAATGAAGCTCTCAAGGAGGTCTCTAACCCCCAGCTATTTGAGGTGCTTTCGAAATTGATTTATACCGTTTCTCACCAAAAGCAGCCCTTTTTTGTCATGCATGTGAGATTGCACACAGAGCTCCCTGGCCCGGTAGCCAAGGGAAACGAAAGAGCAGATTCCTTCGCTGCCCCTGTTAGAATGGCTCAGCTCCCTGATGTTTTCCAGCAAGCCAAGTTGAGCCATCAGATGTTCCACCAGAATGTGCCTGGACTGGTCCGCCAATTCCACCTGAGGCGAGACCAGGCCAGGGCCATTGTGGCAACATGCCCACACTGCCAGTCCACCGCGATGCCATCCCTGGGATCGGGGGTTAACCCTAGAGGCCTGGGGAGCTGCGAGGTGTGGCAGATGGATGTCACCCATGTCCCCGAGTTTGGTAGGTTCAGATATGTTCACCTCTCCATCGACACCTCAGGTGCAGTCTACGCCTCTGCCCACACAGGAGAGAAAGCCGAGCAGGTCTGTAAACATCTCATGCAGGCTTTCTCTGTGTTAGGGGTCCCCAGAGAGATCAAAACAGATAATGGCCCAGCATATACCTCCAGGAGACTGGAGGATTTCCTGCAGGAGTGGGGAGTGCAACATAAAAAAGGCATCCCACACTCCCCCACAGGCCAAGCAATCGTTGAGCGAGCCCATCAGTCGCTCAAACGCGTCCTGACCCATCAAAGAGAGACCATGAAGGGCTGCACCCCACAAGACCGGCTGTGCAAAGCTCTTTTTACTATCAATTTCCTAAATTGTTCAGATAATGATTTAAACCCTCCAGTGGCCCGGCACTTCATGTCAGCCAGCAACTACCAGTTGCAACACCGCCCTCCAGTGCTGGTCCGAGACCCAGAAACCCAGAAGATCATGGGTCCATTTGAACTGGTGACCTGGGGGCGAGGTTATGCCTGCATTTCCTCACCCCAGGGGCTGAGGTGGATCCCGCAGAGGTGGGTGAAGCCTTATGCCCCCAAACATCCAACCAGGCCACCAGACAGCCCGGAAAAGGAAGCCGCGTCCGAATAGGTCACCCCCCCAACCCCCAGAGAAGAGGAGGAGGAAACCTCGATTCCCTTTTTAGATTAACCCACCTTTCCTAGTATGCTAAACCAAGTGTATGTTTTTTTTTTTAGAAGAGCCATCCTGGATATGACAACCCTGACCATCACCCCAA